GGGCCCGACACCCGCCACCGGACAGTGGCCACGCTGGAGGAGAGACCCTTTGTCATCGTGGAGAACACAGACCCTAGCACCGGGGTCTGCGTGCGCAACACCGTGCCCTGCCGCAAGCAGACCAACTCCTCCCAGAGGTGAGCAGCGAGGATGGAGCTCGGCAATTTTGGCCACCACTCCCCAGGCATGTGGTGTCCAGGGTGCACCAGGGTGCTCAGAGGATCTTTGGTTGGTCCAACCCATTTTTCCCGGTGTGGTTTCAGTGGCGATGGCCTCGTGGATCCCTACACCAAGCTGTGCTGCAAGGGCTTCTGCATCGACATCCTGAAGAAGCTGGCCAAGGCGGTGAAGTTCTCCTATGACCTCTACCTAGTGACCAATGGCAAACATGGCAAGATTGTCCGCGGGGTCTGGAACGGCATGATTGGTGAGGTAGGGGTGGACATGGCTCGGACCCCACCTTTGGCCCTCCCTGGGGAGCACCATTCGCTTGGGGCATGCCCTGACTAGGAACTCTCCTGCTGGAGACGGGGTCAGGGTGTCTGCGGTGGGACTCTGGGCAGGGGACAGCTTGGGGTGAGCTTACCAGCAAGGCTTGATGGAGGAGGACAGGGAGAGGGTCAGCTGAACATTTATGACCCCCCCACAGCTGATTGTGTTTGTGTCACTGGTCATTTAAGTAGCTAATATTTAAAAAAATAAAAAAATAAAAAAATAAAAAAAAAATCAAGGTTGGAAATGCTGGAGATGAGGAAACGCCTGGGGAAGGTGGTCTGGGTCCCTCTGCCCATCCCAAGACCATCTGCCCCTTCCGCAGGTGTACTACAAGCGCGCAGACATGGCCATTGGCTCCCTTACCATCAACGAGGAGCGCTCCGAGATCGTGGACTTCTCCGTGCCCTTCGTGGAGACAGGCATCAGCGTCATGGTGGCCAGGAGCAATGGCACCGTCTCCCCCTCTGCCTTCCTGGGTGAGCCGTAGGTCCCTCTGCCTGTCTGTCCATCTGTCTGTCTGCAGGTTCATCGCATGCTTCTGACAAATGCAAATTAAAAATATTGTTTGGTTTTAATAACTTTTAAGAAAAAAAAAGCCTAAGTCATAAGGGAAGGAGATTGTGCTGCCGGCTTTGGGGCTTCCTCCTCCCCTCGCCTGGAATAATCCTTTTAAATTACAGAGACAGAGGCTGGGATCGGTGATTTCCTCCTCTTCATTACTTGTGTGGAGGAGGAAGGACGGGACGTGGGGGAGACAAGGCAGGGATTTGCCAGCTCTGAGCTCTGTGCTGGGGATCCCTTCCCTGCCACCGTCACCAGAGCCCATGGCTAAGCTGAGTGGAGGAAACCACCGGTGCTCAAAGTTTTATTTAATGAGTTTTAAAAAAGCAAAACTGCAGCCTAGGAAGGGGAGGAGACTGGCCAAGGTCATCATGAAATTCAGCCTGAGCACTCAGGCAGGGCTCTCGGCTCTCGGCAAGGGCACAGCGGCAGCATCCCAGCTTGGTGGAGCCGGGCTCCAGTGCAGGGAGGGTGCGGGTGGGTGTGGGTGCCAGGGATGCTGTGGGGTGCAGGACATCACCAGCCTGGGCACGTCTTCCCCTCCTGTCCCGACCAAGCCCAACGCCCTGCCCCCTGACCAGGTGTCACCTTGACCGGCCCCAGGGACAGACGGAGCATCCCCAGTTCCGCAGTGCTGGGGTCCGTGGACCCCACACCACTGCCGCCTCCCGTGCTAATGAGCCGCATCCCCATCAGGGGAGGCCTCTCCTCCCTGACAGCGAAGGACGCGCTGATAAATGGACCTCAGTGGCCGCCTGTTGAAGGCTCAGACGCATCCCCACTGCTCCCTCCGCTCTTGCTGCCCTGTCCCGGCTCATCCCGGGCAGGCGGGGGCTCACACCCACCCCCAGCGCCCAGGGGCTGAGCAGGGCTGGGGGATGGTGCAGGCATGATCCCGTGGCTGGAGCCAATGCAGGGGGCAGCCTGCGATCCCATGGGAAACCCTCCTGCTGACAACCCTGGAGATGGGCAGTGTCACATCAGCATCTCACCATTGATGAAAGCCTGGTTTTATTTAGGCAGGGAAGCGCGGCTGCACCCCCCTGTTTTGCAGCATCCCCCTTCCCTCCTGATGTCCTGTGGATCTGCTCGGCCACAGTGCTGCCAGCACCATCCCTACCCCTTTATTCAGGAGGATGAGCCCCATCCATCAAGGAGGGGTCCTGGGACTCCTTGGGAGGCTGGGGGGTGTCCTGGGGGGCTGACAGGGTCCCACTTGCCTTTTACAGAGCCGTACAGCCCAGCCGTGTGGGTCATGATGTTCGTGATGTGCCTCACCGTGGTGGCCGTCACTGTCTTCGTGTTTGAGTATTTCAGCCCCGTCGGCTACAACCAGAACCTCACCAGCGGCAAGAGTGAGTGGGGGAGGCAGGAGGTGGGGGGACAGGTCCCTAGCCAGGTTGATGACTGTCCCCTCCATCCCCTGTCCCCGCAGGGCCGGGAGGTCCCTCCTTCACCATTGGCAAGTCGGTGTGGCTGCTGTGGGCTCTGGTCTTCAACAACTCGGTGCCCATCGAGAATCCCAAGGGCACGACTAGCAAGATCATGGTGCTCATCTGGGCCTTCTTCGCTGTCATCTTCCTCGCCAGCTACACCGCCAACCTGGCTGCCTTCATGATCCAGGAGCAGTACATCGACACCGTGTCGGGGCTGAGCGACAGGAAGGTGGGGCTGATGATTGGGCTGGGATCCCTAAACAATAATAAGGTTTTTGGGGTGAGGAGAACTTGGGGGGGCTGCATGTCACTGCTGGCCGGCTGGCTGGTGGATAGAGGGCTGGCTGTGGGGAGGGGGGACATGCTGGGAACATGGCAAGGGACATGGACTCTGTGTGACACCGCTCCCTGGGGCTCCCCGTTGCAGTTTCAGAAGCCGCAGGAGCAGTACCCCCCCTTCCGCTTCGGCACTGTCCCCAACGGCAGCACCGAGAGGAACATCCGCAGCAACTACCCCGACATGCACACCCACATGGTGAAGTACAACCAGCGCTCCGTGGAGGACGCCCTCACCAGCCTCAAAATGGGGTATGGGTCCCCCAAATGGGGTACGGCTCCCCCCCCGGTCAGGGGTATGGCTTCCCCTAATGGGATACAGGTCCCAGAGCTGGGGTACAGCTCTTCCAAATGGGATACAGGCTCCCTGGGGTCGGGTACAGTGCCTCGAAAATGGGGTAGGGCTTCCTCAGCTGGGGTACATCCCCCCCACCAGGTGAGATAGGGGCTCCCAAGACTGCGTATGCATCTCCCAGATGGGGTATGGCCCTGTCTGGCTTCCCTGCATGGGGTACGGACCCCCCCAACCAGGGTACAACCCCCTGAGATCCATACAGCTCTCCCCAAAAGGGACACAGCCCCCTCCAGATGGGGTATGGCTCCCCCAAATGGGATACAGCCCCCCCCCAGGTTGGGTACTTCCCCCCAAGTGGGGTTATAGGTCTCCAAGATGGGACAGAGACCCCCAAAGAGGACAGAACCCCCTCCAGATGGGCTACAGCTATCCAAAGGGGGTAGACCTCCACCAAAAGAGGTACAGCCCCCCAAAACAGGGCTGCCAGCCCCCGCCCTCACCCTCCCTCCCGTCGGCGGGGCAGGAAGCTGGATGCCTTCATCTATGACGCGGCGGTGCTCAACTACATGGCGGGCAAGGATGAGGGCTGCAAGCTGGTGACCATCGGCAGCGGGGAGGGGGTTGCCACCATCCCCATCCTCTCCCCACCCCTGCCCTGCAAATTAACCCAGGGACCAGGGCTTTGGTCCCCAGACCCTGTGCAGCCTCCACAGATCCTTGCAGGATGCCACCAAGGGGCTTCTCCACCAGCTCCTTTCAGGGGACATTAAATCCAGCACCATCTCTCCAGCTGTGTGCTTGAGGGGTGTCATTCCCTCTGGGGTCCCTCCTCTTCCTGCATGCTGTAAAATCCTGGAGATGGCCATGGACAAAATCTGAGGGTCGAGGCAAAGCCTGGGAAGGGGACAGGGAACATGACTAGCTGGTACGTGGGTGGGGAACAGAGATGGGAGAGGGCCCTGGAGGAGGACAAGTGACTGGTGGGACACTCAGGCCACAGGCAAGGAGTAAGTGCTAACAGCTCCAGGGGCTTTGGGGGTGGCTTTCTCCTCCTCCAGCCACGGTGGGGTGGGGATGGGCAGGGGCTGTGCTTGGGGAGATGATGCCCAGGGAAGGGGCATTTTCACCCCCTGACCAATTTGTGTATATGGCCTCAGGAGAGACCCAGAAGCTGGAGACGGTTTGGCTGTCGGGGATCTGCCAGAATGAGAAGAACGAGGTGATGAGCAGCAAGCTGGACATCGACAACATGGCCGGGGTTTTCTACATGCTGCTGGTGGCCATGGGGCTGAGCCTGCTGGTCTTTGCCTGGGAGCACCTCGTCTACTGGAAGCTGCGTCACTCTGTCCCCAAGTCCCACAAGCTTGACTTCCTCCTGGCCATCAGCAGGGTGAGTGACACTGCTGGGGGCTCTCGAGGGGCCCAAATGTCCTCCCATGGTGACAGGGGGATGGGCACAGCTTGGCGGGCATCGTCCCTTCAACCCACACGGAGGGGACTGGAGATGTTCGCACAGGTGTGAGCTCTTGGCTGGGGAGAAAAGCTGGGTTTGGGGGAAAGGGCTCAGCCCTGGGAATGACCCTGCATCCCTGGGGAAAAGGGTGATGGAGGATGGTATCTCCCGCCCTGGCAGAGCTTGGGAGGGGACATTAGTGCTGTCAGGACATCTCAACCTCAGCAGCTCGGCAGGGCGGGTTCATGGGTGCAGGACCCCAGTGACCCTGCTCATGGTGGGGTGTCCCCCCCCTTCTCTCTGCAGGGCATCTACAGCTGCTTCAGTGGGGTGCAGACCCTGGGGAGCCCCGGGCGGGCACCTACGCCTGATGTCACTGCGAGCTCGGCCCAGGCCAACGTGCTGAAGATGCTGCAGGCGGCCAAGGAGATGGTGTCGACGGCCAGCGTGGGTGGCTCACTGGAGCAGGCCACCCGCACCATCGAGGACTGGAGCAGCCGCAGCGAGCGCCTCCAGACCACCTTCTCCCTCAGGACACCCCAGCTTGTGGTGCAGAACAGCACCGGCGCCTACCGGGCCCCCTCCTCCGGCCCGGCCCCTGCCGAGAGGCTAGGGAGAGCCTACACTCCCAAGGGTGCTCCCCCAGGGCTCCCGCTGCCCCAGCCCGTCCCAGTGGACTCCCGCCTGCCCAGGGAGGAGAAGTGGAGAGGGGCGAATGAGCACGTCCCCCGCATCCTCCACCCGCTGAAGTTTCGGGGTGGCTGTGTGGGGGATGAAGCCCTCCCTGCTTTCCCCCACCTCCTCGTGAAGACTTCCCCTGGGGGGGATTTTGGGGAGCAGGCACTGGTGGGGAACCACATTGGGGCTCCCCTCCCGCCCCCCACGTCCCCCA